ACATCCGAAAAAGGCAACTAATATTTCCCCTCTGAGGTCTTCGTTTGTTTGCCATTTTCTATACAGGCACTATCACTATCAGGCTCACTTTTGAACTGGGGGCTCTCGTGGCGGCCTAGAGGTTAAGGTGTTGGCCTCTCATTCAAAGGTCCCGGGTTCGAATCCGGGTAGCGACCGAAAAATTTTCTTCTCTAAAATTGTCTCCTTTCACCTCCTTTCCTGCTCTCTAGCAATGTTCTGTTGTCTGCTTTCAATTCCACTTTCTGCCCCCCCCCCTCACCTCCTTTGCCCCCTCCTCTAGGCTCCTGACTCTTTCTGCAGCCTTTCTACTGCTACTCCTTGGCTCTTCCTTACTGCTGTCTTTCTGCCACACCCCTGATCTTCTGGTAGGAAAGATCTACACCTAGCCTTCTCGGACAAGGGCGAAAAATCTCGGAGGGCCCGTGTGCAAGTTGCGCACGTTAAAGATCCCTTGGTGGTCTAAAATCGATAAGAGTAGGCTTCGGCCGCCATCCGGGCAAAATTCCAAATTTCCTACCAACTGAAAATATTAGGTGTGTCCCGGGCGCTCATGTGACCTATGCAGATGCGAGCGCCGTATAACACTTTACAAAAAAAAACAAAAAAAACAAACTTTTGAACTCGACTGCTATAACCAGCGCCAGACCTGGACATTAAGTTAACACTTACATGAAATAAAAATCAACATGCGAAATGAAATGTTCCCGCCCGCAAAACCGTAAAAATCTAAAGAAAAGACAGACAGAGAAATGAAGATGTAAAAGCAAGCGTTGGCATGGAATCCTGCCTGCATTTCATAGAAAAAAAATTAAATGGTTTGGCCACCTTTTACGAATGTCACCCGGCCAGCCAGCTCGAGAGCCTATAACTTACTTAAGTAGTCTACTCAGGCTGTAAAGAAAATGGCAAACCACGCAAAAGTTTTGGGGGTGGCAAGGGAAAACCCTGAGAAACTAGCCTACATAATAACGTCCCAAATGAAAGGATGCAGATTTGGCGTACAATAGAAAACTGCATCTCCCTATACTACGACAGATGATGAGAGAGTAAAAGTAAGTTTTCTTTTGGGAAAAAAACCTGACTTCTATGTAGAGGTTGCCCTGTGCAGAAATTATTATTCTCTTAGTAAGCAATTCCAAAAAGAGAGCATTTTTACTGATGGCACTTATTATCGCACTCTGCTTCGTGTTTGACTTTGTTGGGTAGGCTGTGTGTGTGTGTGTG